AAGAAAAGGAACTTATTATTATGGTAACTGCAGCAAGGCTGATATTTGCAAATAACTGGAAAAATTAAAACCAATTTGATATGGAGGAATGGCACAAAGAAATGTGGAATATAGCCATTAATGACAAATTAACCTATGTGACAAAGATTATAAAAGAAATTTCAAATATTAATTATTTTAAAGAAATACGGAATTTATGGTTGGTATATGTGTTTGAGAAAGGGAAAGAGCATACCCCTGGAGATAAATCACTGTATTTCTAGAAAGAAATTGGGCGTTAACAGCTCTGCCTCTCACAATGTTCATTTTTTGCTCTTCTTTCTCTCTTCCAGCGTGTGAGGAGGGGGTGTCTGTGTTCCCGCCGTGTAGGCAGCCCAACAGAGGAAGCCCCTGCTCCTGAACCGGCCAGGCAGGACCCCAAAAAGCCAATGCGCTGCTGCCACAAACATTTCCGACAGCCAAGCAAAACCCAGGTCCCTGCCCTCAAGAAGCCTCCAGTCTAAACCCACAGCATTTCCAATCTACAGAGAAAAGGGAGGGAGAGGACACAAGGGTAGGAAGTGACAAACGGAATGAAAAAGCGGGACCGTTCATACTTCCTTCGCCTTTCAGGGGATGCGGAGGACTTGGGGGTGATGAAGGAGAAGGTGGGGGGGAACTCCAGGCACACAGAGAACCCTAAGCAGATCCTATCTGGCCCTGCCGTCTTTAGGCTGTTGGGAGTTCTCTTCCCCCAAAGCAACTTCTCCCAGCTCTGAGAGTGACTCAAGATGGCTGGGCTGTTGTGGGTCTCCTCTCATCAGCTCTTCAGAGACATGGACTGGTGCTCCTTTGGCACCCGAGTTCCAAGTAAGCCCTGAAGCTCTTCCAGATTGTGGCCAGTCCACTGTGGCTCATTCCAGCGAAGCATCTCTCCCCTGAAGAAGGAGGTTTTAGGACAGAAAATATGTTCAGGATCACCAGTGCTTTCTTGGGAAGCTCTCAGGTTGGCTGCCAGGTGACATGAGGAACTGAGGGAGTCCTGTGAACATTCACCTTTCGCTGTATCTGTCTGGGGGTCGTGGTGGGAGACTTTAGTCTTGGATTGCCTACTTCAGATTGGCAGCAGTTCTCCAAAATGTCCCCTCCACAATCTTTCAGAAATGGAGATCCCAGGTTCAGGAAATCCCTCCTCTATTCCTAAAGGTGATCATGCCCTACCTATAGAGCTCATAAAAGTTACTTTTTTGGATTACAGTTCCCCAACCTCATTGCCAGTCTGGTTTGGGAATACTAGGAATCTTTGTCCAAAAAAGAGAGTAACTTTTAGAAGCTATAGATATGTAGTGATCATTTCTGTTGGTTGATTCCTGGAGCTCAGTGCTTATGAATTGCTGGAGAGCAAAGAATGGGAGGTAGTGGTGGACTGCATGGTCTGCTTGAGGCTTTCATGGAGAACTTCTGGAAACAAGAGTCAGGGCTAGTTGGTGGAGCCCTGGTTTCATCCCGTGATGCTCTTATGCCCTCAAGTTTCTGACCTGTTGTGTCTTCTCATCTGAGTCTCACTGAGCAACAACAGGAGCACAAGCAGGAACAGCCACCACATGAGACCAGTCTGGTGAAGTCTGCAGCATGCTGGGTAAGGAAGGAAATTATGATTTCTCTACCCTTTTCCTCCCATTCCACAGCCTGCTGGAGGATGGCCAACGTGGTCAGTGAGGTGGGCTGAACTACAAGGCTAAGCTACACATATACACAACAAAGCAAGAATTCCTCCTCCTAGGAAGAAACTATTAGGAGCTAGAATATTGCCACAGAGGTGTATCAACTGCCCACTGCTTCTCCCTCTAAGTCTTGTTTCCATCCAACACTGCAGGATTCTGAAGCCTGTTTCAAGCACGAAACATGCATATGGAGGGAGAGAAACTGGACGGTGGGTGGCCTTCTGCTGGAAAATAGGATTCTTGAGCAACACTGCAGGATTCTGAAGCCTGTTTCATGCACGAAACTTGCATATGGAGGGAGAGAAACTGGATGGTGGGTGGCCTTCCGCTGGAAAATAGGATTCTTGAGAGAAGATGAAAGCATCTTTCCCTTGTTCTTGTGGCTTCTCCACCCCATTTGCCCCATCACCTTTACACTTACTCCAAGTAAGTACTGGAAGAGTCTTCCCAGATAATTCTCTGGATGTCCCCTGCATGCACGAAACTTGCATATGGAGGGAGAGAAACTGGATGGTGGGTGGCCTTCCGCTGGAAAATAGGATTCTTGAGAGAAGATGAAAGCATCTTTCCCTTGTTCTTGTGGCTTCTCCACCCCATTTGCCCCATCACCTTTACACTTACTCCAAGTAAGTACTGGAAGAGTCTTCCCAGATAATTCTCTGGATGTCCCCTGTCTGAAGAGGCCACCCTTGTTTTAAAGGGAGAACCAATTTTATCCAGAAAGAAAACATAGCTGGGGACACCTTTACGATTGAACAGACATGATTTCTCTTTAATTTACACAGGAATCAATGAACATGGAAGCCCCAGAGAGCAGACAGAGCAGCTTTGAGGACTTGGTTTCTGACTAGAGATCGCCATGAACCAAACTACGAACTAAAAATAACCACGAACCAGGCTGGTTTGTGGCTCAGTTTGTGCAAGTCATTTTGCCAAAATAAAACAAATCACCACACTTTTTTCACTTGGCGCTTTATTTTGCTTCAACTAAATGGATTGCCCCACTCCCACCCCCTTCCCGTTGCTCCTGTTGCCCTCCTAGCTGGTCCTACTGCCGCCGCCTCTACAAATTTCAAAGACAATGGGCTGGCTTCCCTTCCAGGAACCAGGCCTGCTGTCTCTGTACATGTGCATGTCTATCAGCTGAGAGGTGTGCACATGCGCAAAAAACAGCCGGCCTGATTCCCAGAAGGGAAGCCAAGCTGCTGTCTCTGAAGATGGTGGGAGTGAAGGAGGAAGAGGTGGGGGGCAGGACCAGGTAGGCAGGCAACGTGGGCAGCAGGAAAGGGGGGGCTGGCAGCAGAGGGAGTGGAGGCATTAGGTTCCCCCCTCCCCAGGTACGAACCGGAACAATGAACTGCAAAATGGTTCATTTTTCTGAGGTTCATGGGCAGCCTCTAAGGATCCCAATCCATCATTTTTCTGGTTCATGGCCATCTCTATTTCTGACTCTCCATCTGCTTCAGAAAGGTGAATCAGCTGAGGGGTAGGAAGGGTGGCCGTAGTTTGGCCCATATAGGTAAAGGTTCCCCTTGACATTTAGTCCAGTCATGTCCGACTCTAAGGCGCAGTGCTCATCCCTGTTTCCAAGCCATAGAGCCAGCGTTTGTCCAAAGACAGTTTCTGTGGTCACGTGGCCAGCGCGACTAGACACTGAATGCTGTTAGCTTCCCACCGAAGTGGTCCCTATTTATCTACTTGCATTTTTACATGCTTTCAAACTGCTAGGTTGGCAGGAGCTGGAACAAACGACGGGAGCTCACTCCGTCGTGTGGATTCAATCTGACGACTGCTGGTCTTCTGACCCTGCAGCACAGAGGCTTCTGAGATTTAACCCGCAGCACCACCATGTCCCCTAACTTGGCCCATATACACCTCCAGATTTCCCCTCAACCTCAGAGCTGGGACAATGGCTGGGATTCTACAGCAAGTGCCCAATGACTTCTGCCCACCTTTCTAGCTCCATCGCTAGAAAGACAGGAGGCACTTGGTCAACCTGATCACAGCTAGCATGGCAGATGTCACACTTCATGGATACAAGGCAGCTCCTATATTCAGTCTACCTTTGGAATGAGAAGAGAGAAAAGCTATTGCTTGGGACTTTCCCGAAGGGGCCAGGGCCAGTCTGGCCATTGCTGGCCTGCTGGGTTGGAGATAGTCCAATCTAGCAGGACTTGCCTTAAGATTTCATGTTCTAGCCTGTTGTGTGAGTTATTGCTCCTAGTCTCCTAGTGGCATCTCCTAATCGTACCAACATGAAGAGAGAAAATGATTCAAGCCTTTGGATAAGTTAGGTACTGTATGTATTTCTCCTATAAGAAAAGGCACGGCAGTTCCAGCTTGTAAGATATGTTGTCCAAGCTGCAGCCGTTTCTTCACTGCAAAGTGGCACTTGGAAGGGGCCGTTGCCTTTGGGTAAGTTAGGTACTGTATGTACTTCTCCTATAAGAAAAAGCATGGCAGTTCCAACTTGTAAGATATGGTGTCCAAGCTGCAGCTGTTTCTTCACTGCAAAGTGGCACTTGGAAGGGGCCGTTGGATTCTGGTAAGTACCAAAGAGGAAGATGGATTTCCCCCACCCCTGGCCAAGGGGGTTACTTGTAGCCCAGGACCATTTCCCCTCCTGCCATACAGGAGGATCAGAAGTGTGGGGAACTTCACCCAGGTAAGCCAGTTACTCGTATATGAATGTAGAAGAAACAGAGCAGCCCTCCCTCTGCCTCCTTTCCTGTACTCCTCCCCTGTTGCCCCTACCAGGATTATGTACAGCAGAAAAGACTGACGTCAGGTGGATTGCCAGATCCTATTTCCATAAGAGGAACTGTTTCTTTTCAAACACAACCCACCCTTACTCAAGTTAAAGTCCCATAAAAATCACAACTTCCACACTGTCTAAACAGGGTTCCCACAGGGATGGTCATAGTGTGGAGATAGCTTTGCTTTGAAATAAATGAATGGATGCCTGATTTTGATTCCCAGGATTCCATGTAGATGCCATCATGGTCATTGCTGGAAATGCAGCATGAGGTTTACAGCCTCCATGCTGAAGTATGGGAACCATCACCCTTTAAATCCATTCCTAGGTGAAGAACAATTAGAAAATGGAAGGACTGCAGCTGAAGAAGGGTCGAAATAGCCTAGGTTTCTTTAGTTCAGAAGAAAGAAGGGTCTGGAGGGAGAACAGGAAGACTCCAGCATCAAACTCACATGCCACCACAAGCCAGAAATTCCAGGTTGCTGTGTGCAAGAGGGTGTTGGTGATAATGGTTGATCCCTCCTGCTTTCAGCAGGAACACTTAAACAAACCATGAAGCTCCTTGGTTGTGTTAGTGTGCTGTTTCCTCCCTCACTGGTTTAGCTGTGTGGCGGGTTTATTGCGTTGTCTGGCAGCAAAAGGGCACTTTCCCATCTCTGGGCTTTTTAACTCCCAAGAAATCAGAGAAAGGAGTCAGGAAGAAATCTTGGATTCTTGATCTTCCCCCTCAGGAGGGGGAAAAATCTACAGAAAGGAAGCTGCCTGCTGCCAGGGAAGCAACTGGATAGAGAACATTTGCATGCTGCTGAACGTGACAAGCCAGGGTTGTTTCCAGGAATCCTTGGCTCATTGTGTCATGTGAATCCAACATACAGTATGTTTCCTCTCTTAAAACAACTGAACTGGAGGTCGTCACTCTGAAACTGGCTCTTAAAAAGCAGAAGAAAATATGGCTTTTGCAGTTGCCTGGTGCTGGGATTTGGGGCCTGATGGATACGTAGCTTAGTGGAGTAGGGCTCTCCTTCTAGTTTCACACATTGACTATAGGTTCTTATTCTTACATGTTTCTTATAATGCTTGGAAGAGCCACCACTGGAGATGGCACTTGCAATGTGGATAACTCTTCTTCACTTTGGGTAAGGAAGGAAAGAAGGATTGCCCACTCAATGTAAGGGCAAGGAATGGAGGACCTAGGCCTCCTTTATGTCTCACAATCTTGTTGCCTTTTCTTAAGATGCATCCTTTCTTTCAAATGGCCAATATTTCTTGTACATTCGGACTACAAAGGCTCCTAAAAGTAAGGGTCCAAAATGGCCTCCAGCTTGAGTCCTGGTTCTCATTTAAGTAAATCACTTTATTTCGCGGGATTCTCTGGATGATGATGATACCCTGGATGACATCTCCACCCTGGAAGATGGACAGTGGGAGCCATCACTGTTTAAAATGCTTCCATTTGCAGCTTTTATTAAAGAGATGGGAGTCCCTTTCTTTATATACAGTGGTAACATACAATCATTCCTTTGGGGAGGAAGAAGGGATGATTAAAACTGCTCCCTTTCCCATTAAAGGAATTGTAGGGATCCCTGATTTTTTTTCCAATTGCATTTGTTTGCACCTGTATGCCCAGAAGGGAGAACAAGCAGCCTATTGGGTTCAGGGCATTCTGGGCCAGTGTCCATGAGGTCTAAATCAGACTGCATGACTATAAGCCTCATGGCGATGCTTGGTTCTCAACATCGTGGCTCACCCAAGCACAAGACCATTACATTAGAAAAGACAAAAAGGTAGACTTAATGGGATAAATTTGGTCCCAGCTGGTGGTGTTGGTGTTTTAAGAACAAGGAATAGGATAAAAGGTACAGTATCACCTTTTCTAGCATGTCAGTTTTTGAAATCCAATCTCTTTGGATTTCGGCAGTCAATTTGCCTTCATTCATGGTGAGATCTGGCAAACAGCAGGCACATGGCAAGCTCTATTTATTAAAATAGTGTCAGCAACACAGAATGAGATTACTGTACTGCAATTTCTAGGAAAGAGAAACCTGGGGGAAAATATCCAAAGAACTTAGGAAGAAGAAAAAGAGAAAACAGTCTGTTCCATTTTGGGCAGCAGATACAGAAAACCTTTAAAGAAGGATTTTATGTGGGCTATAGTAAAAATCTGGCAGTACTTAGGAAAGTTACTTTTTTGGACAACTACAGGTACCAGACTGCTCCTGTCAACCTGACCAGTACAGTTCTAGGACTTGTGTGCCAAACAGTAACTTTTCCATAATTCTGGTCACATTTGGGGGAGCATATACCCATTGTGGCTTAGTGGATAGAGTAATAAACCAGGACTCAGGAGACCAGGGTTCAATTCCCTGGCTCTCCCACAGAAGCTCAATGGGGGTGTGGAACTAGAAAAACCACACCTGAAATGCCTCACTTACCTAGAAAACCCTCTCAGGGTCACTATAAGTTAGTTCTGACTTGTCGGCACATAACAACTGTAAGACCAGAGGTGAGAGCAAGGTGCCTCTCACGGGAGTGCCGTCCCTCCCACCTACTGATGATAAAGAGAGCCAAACGATGCCAATTCCCCCACCCAAGAAGGCAAGACCACCTGGACCAGACCCAGGGAGGATAGAGGAGGATTTGAAAGAATTAACGGTCAAAGAGACCGGGACTGGTTTGGCGCAAATGGAACAAAAAGTGCAGGTAGTAGTGGAGGCAGGACCAGCGGATATAAAAGATGGCGAAATGGAACAAAAAGTGCAGGTAGTAGTGGAGGTGGGACCAACAGATATAAAAGATGGCAAAAGAGGGCTCCCCCCAGGCTGGGAGTGGATGTAGGTAGAAGATCCGTGGACTGGAAAGGTGGAGAAGCTAAGAGTTCCTAAAGAAGAGGCTGATGCCAGAAGGTGAGAGAACACCCCCCAAAACGTCATACTGGGGTGAAAGGGAGACTAAGGAGTGGAGGAGGAAATTGAGGGAAGAAAAGGAGAAGGCTGAGAAAGAAAGGAGAGAGAGGTTAGAAAGGAGAATCTGGGAGATGCAGCAGATACAACAACAGGAGGGCCATGGCAGATGATCAATCCCACCCAAGAGCTTGCCTTGGTGGACAACCGAGACAAGGATACACTCCCCTTATTGGAGGGGTAGAGTGGACTGTTATTAAACATGGGTGCATCTCTGGACTGGCTGGGACCCTGGAACGTGCAGGAGGGTAACCCATTCAAAGTTCATGAGTGGAAACCCTTGTCAGACCCATTGTTTGACAGGGAGTAGGGTTGGAATGCGTTTGCCGACACTGGATTTTTGTTAAATAATGCAATGAATGTTACTCCCATTTTGAAACCACGCAAGTCTGGTGATTTATTTGGGGCAAGTCAGGAAGCGAACCCTCACAACAAAAAATGTTTGCTATTTCCTACCTGGGATACTCATTTCTGCACCACCACAAAACCATGTGCAGAAGGACCCACGATTTCTGTGCTATAATCTGTGCACACAGATTGAGGCTATAATTGGACAGTACTTTGGAGAGGATCCTATGGAGCAATCATGGGCCCATGAAAATTCATACCAATCCATGCTTTTCGGCCACTGCAATGCCATGCCTTGAAAAATTCTGCACTGTAATTTGGGGGCACAAATGAGGCCTATAACTGGACAGTAGTTTCGGCAATTAAAAACACTTGGATCCATGGGGATCTGTGTATCAGATGTATGTTTTTGCACCACTACCAAATTATGCACTGACGAACCCATGATTTCTGTACTGTAATCTGTGGGCACAGATTGGATCTATGATCTGGTGGTTTAAATTTTAAAGGGTATCCCACCTAAACATCATATACATCTGTGACTCTGATCCATGTTTTTCCACCATAGCAAAGCCATGCACTAAAAAGGACCCATGATTTCCGTGGTGTACTCTGTCCGCATAGATCTATGATTTGACGCGGCTTGATGAGGATCCCACATAAAAATCATATGAAATCACAAGGATTCACTCTTGAGATCATGGATCCACCTTTTACCCAGATCCAATACCGTACCCTAAGCTCGCTTACTTCTACTATTTAAGGAGTCCCCCCCCAAAAAATAGTATTCCACAGCTTTGTTTGGACGTTTCGTCCCGAGTCTCCGACCAAATTACTGCTTGCCGCTGTTCTGCGGTTCCTTGAGAAATAAACCCCTGCCCCTCCTCTGTCCCCTTCTGGACAAAAGCCCACCCCACCCCCGGCTCCGCCGCACCCATTCTCCACCGGCCGCCTTCCCCTCCCCTCCTCTCTTCCCCGATAGCAGCCGGTCGGAAAGGTGACGCCCACGCTAAAACAAGACCCTCCCGCCGGGCGTCATAAGAGAGCGCAAACTGCGGCGGGGGTTCCTGCCTTCCCTCCCCCGGCGCCGGGTGATGATCCAGTCCCGAGGAGGCGGGGCAAAGGAGCGAAGAGGAAAACAGCGGAGCCCGTGTGAGTGAGGTCAGTGAGCAGTGGCAGGTTGTAGCCCACCTAAGGTTTCTCCCCGTTGGAACGCCCCCCCTTCGGCCCTTTTTCGGTTGCCATGGGAATGGGTTATACAGTACATCTCCCACCCCCAGCCATTATCCTAACCCGGGGGAAATGGAGGAGCCACCGTTCCCTGGATGGGATGGCAGACTCATTTCTGGGGCTGAGCCTCTAGATATGGGGTGGATGATGGAGAGGTGGCATTGGGAAGCCCCCCTCCCCAAACCATGCTGCGTCAAGAGCGGGTGATGTGTATGTATACACACGCCTGGTGTCTCTGTACACGCACAGTAACTGGAATCCTGTTGCTTAGAATGGTAAATTGCAACTAGAATGTGCCAACTGAATCAGTGGGGATTTGGGGAGTCTGTAAGGTCATTTGATTCAAATAGGCCTACTCTAGTTATGACTTACTGCACTAAGCAATAGGGTTTCAGCCAGTGTATAATATTAACATTCGCAGTATATAGCACCTTAAAATTCTTGGAGTTTTTCAAATACATTCTGCTGTTACTCAAACTTGAGAGTAAGCCAGTAGTATCCCTTTATTGCCTTTTTATGGGGCAGGAAGTTAGAGATGCTTACCTTTTAGTGCCTGGAGTCTTTGTAGCTATAGTGACTTAAGGTCTCACATTCTTGGGAACTAAACCTCACCGTTTCTTGGACGGCTGTTATCACTGCCTCCAAATCAGGTCACAAAGAAGGACTCCTGCAGTTTGTGTGATCATAATTGGCATGACTGGCAGACTATTTTGTGCTGAAGCTGTATCTTAATGCTAGCCTGTAACTTGGAGGGGTAGCCCTTCAGGTGTTGTTAGACTTCCCTTTCCATAATCCTTTGCCATTGGCTGACTAGGACTGTTGAGACTTGTGAACCAACAGTATCTGGGCAAGCCACTAATAGGAATCTGTGACCACATTTGAGATGTGTCTCTTGCCATGTGTTGCCAGGTGATTCCTGAGGCCATCTTCTAAAAGATGTGGGAATTCCTACCAAATAAGATTTTGCAAGTGATTATTGGGGATAAGGCCTTTATCAGTAAGGGCACTCTAGTTATAGAATGCCCTCCCTAGAGCAACTTACATTACACCTACCTTATATTCTTTTCAATGTTAGACAGAAGTTGTATTTTTCCAGGTAGTTTAATAGGTTAATTTAAAAAATCTTTAAAACCTCTAGAAAATTGAGATTTCTGAATTTTAAGGTTCATTATAGTGTTGCTGTGAAATGTTTTTTGTTGTTTTATGTCTGTCTTAATTTTTTTTTTAAATTCACATATTGTGAGCTTGTTTCTAGCAATGATGGGAAGAGAATATTTAGATGAAACATTGATCAGATCCATCTGGGTTTTTCTTATAGTCTTCTGACAAATCTTATAGCCTCTAACGCCCCTCCAAGTTTTAATTTTGAGGTAAAATAACTCTGGACTAACAGTTGACATCTTCTAAAATAAAAAGAGCTCAGCCTTCCCTCAGCGTATGTGGGCTGGATGTGGTTAATCAGCAGAGACAGGGAGCCACTTCAGATATACCTAGAGGTACAGTGCTACTTTCAACTATGCAGTTCTAGCATCAAAAGCAGATTCTGAATTTGAGATTGGTCTTCTTTTTGACAATGTTTGTTTTCTCCTCACCAAAGAAAACCAGAAATAATGTTCTGTTCTTTCTTTCTTATGCAGGACATTGCAGCTGCTCAGCTAGGCCTCTGTCACCATGGTAAGTGTACGGAGTATCTTGTAAGGCATGATCAGGAAGCTTAAACCTCAGTGTGACTAATGTGGTCCTTTTATATCTGTTTGGATTCTGTATTTATTGGCTATATTTATTTGGCCCCTTCTGGAAGCATTGGTTTGCACCCACTGTTCCTCTGAATGTGTGTGCCTTGACTGTAAATTCAGGAGCAGCCTCGTGTGTTCCTGAGGCACTTGCATGTGAGCCTTCTCTCTAATGTGAATTGGTCCTGAAGCTGCAATAGTCACTTGTTGCTTGTATAGCTGTCCCTTCAATGGCCTTTTTGCCAAGGAAACAGAAGGCAGTGCCTGTGAGGGCAATGCTTCACGTTTGTTGTCATTCTTTGGACTCTACAGATTTCTTGTGCTTCTAGGGATGCACCCTTTGCATGAACCAGGGGTTCCATATAATGGCTACATACAGGGACATCATGATGAGCACAGTTGAAACAACCTTTTGTGGCCTGCCACAACTGAGCAAATTGTAGCTGCTGTTTGTATAGTTCTCCTTCCCACCCAGGTGCTGACTTGCACATGTATCACACAAATGCACTTAGTGCATAGACATAGATTGATTTGGCCTGACCAGGTTACTTCATCAAATGGGAACTAACTTTACTTAGAAGCTGTTGCTTGAATAATGTGATCGCTTAGATAATGTCACAGGGATAGGAGAAAAGTTTGCTATCTGGAAGAACAGGTACTAACTGAGATAGCGAATGGAACTTCCATATTCATAACACTATATCTCTGAATACTAAATGCTGGGAATGGGAGCAAATGTCCGAGGGGGCTTCAAAAGTACTTGTGCGTTTTCCAAAGGCATCAAGTCAATCACTGTGTGGAACTGATTTCCAAATGGTGACATTCTTGGTTTGACCAGGTTGGAGTTACCTTGTATTTCTACGCAGCGTAATGAGGTGGTGGTGGTTGGAGAATTTTCTGGCACTTTCACCGACTGTGACTCCATTCTGATTTCTCCTTGCTCATTTGGATCTGCAGCACAAATATACGTATCTAATGGTATAGAGTGAGGCCAATGAATTAAGGACTGTTCTAGCGTCTGCGTCAAACCTTGCAAACTAAAAACTCTGCTTGCATTTGCTGCACATTAATGTACTTGAATTCCTTCAAGTAACGTTAAAGAACAGTAGCCTAAGGTTTTTTTGTTACTTTCAGGGTGAAAGAAAAGGAGTTAATAAGTATTACCCACCAGATTTTGATCCAGCCAAGGTAAGATGGGGGTGAGGATTCTCTTTTACAGGGCATTTCAAGACTTCTAGTCTTGACTCTCTCTCTCTCTCTTTTATTTTAATTTTTGTTCTGCATTGTGTTTACTTTGCCAGGAAATAATGTTATGTACAGTTTATTGAGGACATGGATTTTAAAAAACAGTTTATGCTTTGTACTAGACACCTTCATAATGGATTGTTTACATAGCCATTACAGAATTTAAATTGCCTCATATAGTTTTTAAAGATTCAAATAAAGGCAGATATGGAGGCAAGGTTTTATTGATGATCCATCCATATCTGGGTTTGTTTAAACCAGGGGTGAGAACCTTTCACCCCACTTTAATATATGATATAACCTCCTAGTTCTCTTCTGAGTAGGCTGAAACCATGTAACGTTAAAGAACAGTAGCCTAAGGTTTTTTTTTGTTACTTTCAGGGTGAAAGAAAAGGAGTCAATAAGTATTACCCACCAGATTTTGATCCAGCCAAGGTAAGATGGGGGTGAGGATTCTCTTTTACAGGGCATTTCAAGACTTCTAGTCTTGACTCTCTCTCTCTCTCTTTTATTTTAATTTTTGTTCTGCATTGTGTTTTCTTTGCCAGGAAATAATGCTATGTACAGTTTATTGAGGACATGGATTTTAAAAAACAGTTTATGCTTTGTACTAGACACCTTCATAATGGATTGTTTACATAGCCATTACAGAATTTAAATTGCCTCATATAGTTTTTAAAGATTCAAATAAAGGCAGATATGGAGGCAAGGTTTTATTGATGATCCATCCATATCTGGGTTTGTTTAAACCAGGGGTGAGAACCTTTCACCCCACTTTAATATATGATATAACCTCCTAATTCTCTTCTGAGTAGGCTAAAATCATCCTTGTATTTGAATTAGCTAACCAAGAAGAGTTTTCACTCTTTTCAGCAGACCTTAAAAACAAAATGACTGATAGCAGCCAGTATCTTCTCTGATGGTCCATGCACAGAACATAAATTGTAGAAGTAGCGTTGGCTACTTTGTGAGATGCCAGTTCCACAACCAGAATGTAGTGAATATAGAAAATGTGTTATGGTTAGAAAATAAGACTATAAGAATGTCAAGTCTCCTGACTAGTGTTCACAGATCTCCAAGCAGTTTTGTCATATTGGTAGATTGTAAATTGGACAGTGGAACAGATCTTGAAGATACTTGTGGTTATCAGCCATACGTACTGTATTTTAGTAACTGTCAGTAGCACTTTTATAGAAACTGCATGGGTCCTGCTTGAATTTGTGTGATTGTGAATGCCGGAGACAAAGTTTTCTTGAGTGCATTGAGGCAGAGGTAAGAGTCTGGATTAGGTCATGCAACCTGATGCTGGATTTACATGATCTATATCTAGAGAAGCCATTCTCCACAGGGTCATATGCCTTCCTATTGGAGGCCGCTGGCACCTTTGAATAGGGGCACAGACTAGAAACAGTTCATATACAACCTTGTAATGTTTGTTCTATAACTTATACAATCCTGCTTTGGCGTATATTTCTTACNTTATTAAGGGCCGGGAAAAAAAAAAAAAAAAAAGGTTGAGTGGCTGATCTAGAGTGAACTTGCTAATGCTGGTGCTGAGCAGCATTGACTTTCTTGGATTATCCCAAGACACTCATGCTAAGGAGACAATACCCTTATATTTCTAATCCTGTAAGACTTCAAGTTGCATTAGTTATTGAACAGAAACAATAAAAAGAATTATGTTTCCCTTTTAAAAGATCATGAGTAGAGATGGGGGTATTCATATTTGTCTCCAAAATGAATATCCTCACACAGGTGGCATTAATGAGGATCCAGCCGCATGGGGCCGGACGGTCCACTCACCAATCTGACACAGACACGGATGGCCCAATTCTACCAATGGCTCCACGGCACGTGATCCACTCGCCACTCTTCGAACTTGCAGCGAGGCTTGTCCTCCTGCCAGAAGTGGTGAGCAGATCGCATGCTGCGGAGCCACTGGTAGAATCACGCCGTCCACATCCGTGGCAGATTGGTTAACAATCTGTGCAGGGATATTCATATTCATAGACAAATACGAATAACCCCATCTCTAAAAAAAAAAAAAAAAAAAAGGTTGAGTGGCTGATCTAGAGTGAACTTGCTAATGCTGGTGCTGAGCAGCATTTAAGTACCGCAACAGCCACCCACTGCGAGAAAGAGCTCGGAAGCTCTCCCAGGGCATACTCATCATCAGGTAAGGATACTTAGATGCAGTTCTTTCCATGCCCCACACTTAAAACGGTGAATATTGGATTTCCTGGTGGTTACCACAAGGGGGTTCTAATCCTGTGCTCTTAAGAAGGCAACGTTGTCACTTCTGTGAGGTCTGCATATCAGTGCAGGATTTGCTCTGTGGTACTCAATTTATGTGTGAGTGTTGCACAAGACTTGCATTGTAGCTGTCTGAAACTACAGGATGCTTCTGCTGCATGTAATAAATGTTCCTTGGTTTGACTTTTTCCTAGGTTTGAAATGCCCTATAACATCTGGTGTGATGGCTGTCAGAACCACATTGGCATGGGTAAGAGAGGAATGCTCCATCCAGACAAACTGCCAGCTTGAGATGAGGGCTTGAATTCAGCAGGATTTATAGAGATTGGAGAGAGGGAGCCTAATTTCATATAATAATAGAGATGTGCAAGGACTGCCTGTTTGACTTCCATAAATGCCTCCCAGTTCAACTGTTTTTTTCATGTTGTGTGTGATTGGCTGGGTAGAATATATAAAGAAGAAACTAATTTCATATAATAATAGAGATGTGCAAGGACTGCCTGTTTGACTTCCATAAATGCCTCCCAGTTCAACTGTTTTTTTCATGTTGTGTGTGATTGGCTGGGTAGAATATATAAAGAAGAAACCTTAGAAGGAAGGATAGAGCATTGAGGCCATTCAAGAGTCATAAGGCTGAAAGTGGCTACAGTAATCCATACCAAAGGAATAGGATTTAGGGTCTCTGAAGTCTCTTCTCAGTTCCAGGAAGGTTTTCACAGGGATGAGAGGCACTAGAAACCAGGAGTCTGAGGATCTTTGCATTTTCAGTTGTTCTTGTACACTTTTGACAATTTTGATGAAATATTTTTGAACAGTGAAGGGCACATATTTACAATCAGTAAGATGACTATTACTGGTAGCTGCATGATTCCAGGATAAAGTGTGTGATGAGGAAATCTGTTATGGTCTGTACAGTTAACCACGTGTCCTTCCTCCACTATCTCCTTCCTTCAGGAGTTCGTTACAATGCAGAAAAGAAGAAAGTCGGCAATTACTACACAACACCTATCTACAGGTGGGTGATGTGAAGGCAGAGGAATTGTGCTGTTTTTACTGATACGTGTTGCAGTGACTGGTTGGGGAGCAGGGTCATCAGTGAAGGCTCAGGGATCTGGGAGGAGGTGAAGAAGGCAGCTGGTTATATGTCATATTTTCCCAGATTTCCCACCCTCATTTCTAATGCTGGACTAGGAAAAGCAAAATTATTTGACAGGCTGACATTTGTAACTCTAAATGCATTTTACATGTGGCATGTAAAGTCAAACCTGCTGTAGGTTAGAGAAGGAGCACTGAGGCCCCATCCCTCAGTTACTGATAGACATCTTGCCCAGTCTCTTCTCATGTTCTGATGCTGGATCAGGCACTGCCCAACTGGCTTCTCAGACCCTCCCTGCACTAATAAGGATTAGAAGTGTACCAAAAGTGAAACTACACAATTGCTGAATGTACAATTGCATTCAAGACCAAATTCTCTGCTTGCACCTTTTGTTTACACTTTGCAGCCTTACTTATTAAACAGCCCTAGCAAGGGGCAGATGTGTTTACTTTTGACAGTAGTTCCTAAAAGTGGGACCCCAGATGTTCTTGGACTACAGCTGGCAAGAGCCCTGGCTGTGCTAGCTAGGGCTTTTGAGAGTTGTAGCCCAAAAACATCAGGGGACCCACCCAACTTTGCCAAAGAGTTAGTTAAGATAGTTATACCATGGCTTCGAACAGAACAGCAACAGGCATGAAAAAAAACACTACACATTTGGGAAAGGCTAGCATTCCTTCCTCTCTAAAAAGCTGCAGATCCAGAGCAGCTATGACTGAAGCCACAGATGTTTTTATATGAAGCAGGGAGCACCTAGCAGAATATGTGGCTGGTACTAGAAGAGACAGAGCAAAGTAGGGAAGAGGAAAGTAGGAGGCTTGGTATTTCTCTGAACTTGTTCTATCTATTGCCCTAACAGTGTTTTCTGTCCCGTACCCCTTTTGCTGCAAAACTGGCTGGATAGCTGAGTGGTTTGGGCATCTGGCTGTAGAGCCAGAGGTTGGGAGCTCGATTTCCAACTGTGCCTCCTTGACATGGGCTGGTCTTTATGATCCATAGGGTCCCTTCCAGCTCTGAAGTTCAAAGATGATGATGATGGTGATGATTGTCTTACAGATTCCGAATGAAGTGTCACCTTTGCCCCAACCACATTGAGATGCAGACAGACCCTGCCAACTGTGACTATGTCATTGTGAGCGGTGCACGGCGGAAGGAAGAGCGCTGGGATATGGAAGCCAATGAGCAAATAATGACCACAGGTGAGCTTAGGGAAGAGGAGCCTGCTGTTTGAGCCCTTCATGGCTCATCTGGCCTAGTCAGCTGGTTTCATGCCTGTATCTCATTCTCAGCTCATGAAGAGAAGCAGAAGCTGGAAACAGATGCCATGTATCGGCTGGAGCATGGCTCAAATGATCAGAGCAAACTTCAGCGAGTTCTCCCTACCTTGCAAAATATCCAAGAGGCCCAGAGTGCCTGGAAGGATGACTTTGCCCTTAACAGCCTTCTTCGTCGCAAATTCAGGGTAAGTCGATGGGAATTTTTACAATATTCTTTTCCAACCTCGGACAAGTCAGTGCATGATAAAGTGGCATACCTAATAGCCATTATTTATTTTTAAATTAGAACTGTCAAACAAATCAATCTCAGTTAAGAAATCATCTGCCCATAGCCTGATTAATTAACTAGATTTAAACAAAATAGGTACGTTAAACCTTCATCTAGGCCTTTTTCTTAGATTGTGGGTCTAGCAACCGTGATTGATGAGAAGTTCCCATGTTATCTCCCTTACATAAACAAAACACAGCTGTCTTCAATTTTTGCAACATTTATATTATAGCTTTTATTTGCTGATGTTGCAATTCTGTCTTTCAGACCTGACACTTTCTGAAAGTCTTACTTGTGGCTTTGATCCAAATGGACAATGTAGAACGCCAATTATGGCATTAATATTGTGGTTTTCTATTCCCTGCACACTCATTCAGTGAGACTAGAATTTGATGGAATGCATCTAATCCTGGAATAGGTTTTCCAGGAAAAAAATGCTGAGTAGAATACCAACACCTTATGGGGGAAGATATGTGAGTAACACTTTATGGCAGGGGTCCCCAACCCCCGGTCCGTGGCCTGGTGCCAGTCTGGGGCCTTGGCTTGACTGGGCCGTGGAGACAGATCTCCCCCCCTGCGTGCACTCCCCCCCACAGCCCCTTTGTGCATCCCCACAAGCGCTCCCACCCCTTCGTGCATGCACGCAAGTCTGTGTGCACCCCCCATGAGTGCCCCCTGCCCCTTCATGCACACGTGCAAGTGTGCGTGCACTCCTGAGTGCCCCGCCCCTTTGTGCATGTGCGGAAGTGTGCATGTGTACCATGCAAGCGCCCCCCACCCTTTGCACATGCATGTGAGTGCCCCCACAAACGAGTGCCGCCCCTTTGCGCATGCACATGAGTGCAGGGGGGTTCCCCACCCCAACTAGTTCGCAGTGTCAAAAAGATTGGGGACCACTGCTCTATGGTATGTAGGACTTGTATCTTTAAGAGACAAACTTAAGTTACAGTTCTGTCTTCACACATGGCTGTAGCTTCCTTTCAGGTATAAGTACAACTGGATGGAATAAACTGCTCTGTTTTATACAGTGAATTCAAGGTATGTTTCTATTGACTGTTTTGTTTGGCAACTTAAAAATTTTTTCCCTTACTTTAAGTAAAGCCAGAATCACTTTTCCCAGCAGTATTAGCTATGAGTTCCTATGTTTCAAGCAGCAGCAAAATTCTTAAGATTCTTCAACTTAAAGCCAATATATGGGTGAAGCAACCTCCAAAGTTAAAAAAAAAATCAGACCACAGAAAGTATCCACCTTTCTTAAAATGCAGGCACACTGCTCCATTCTTCTTGTGCTTCCCTTCCACCCCAGAAAATACTGTGGTGGAATTTCACTCCTTGATGCAAGAGAGATGAGTAACTTGTGCTCGCCAAGGACTGATACTAATGATTCAGTGAGACTTCCTTCCTCCCAAAATGGCTCCATAGGACTGGATTAGTAAAGATTATTAACTGCCGCCAGAACTGGTCTGCAGATATCCTGTTTTATAGATGCTACACTGCCTGTCTTTCATTTCAGTATTTCCCAGTGCATCATAAGTGTGAGATAGTGAATGCAGCTATGCTCCAGTGTTAATTTGGATTGGAAGTTGTAGTACCAAAGGTTGTATCAGAGTGCCCAAGATTGCGCAAAGAGGGCAGCTTGATAACATGGACTGATTTCTTTGGTTTTATTTTGGGAGGCATTACTTCAACACCTTTTCGCTTTAACCAGAGGGTTTCCCCCCCTCTTCTGGAATTTAATAATGAAACATTGCCACTGTTTAATAATCCTTTTCAAAAATTATTTTTCATTTCCCCTTACAATTACACAGAAGAAGCAAAAAAAAAGCTATTAAAGATTAATAACTGTTGCTTAGTTATGCCTCTGGAAGGCAACTGTTTCTTACGAGTACCATTAACCAAAAAGTCCCTTCTTGCACATGCATATGCTGAGAAATCCAAGTGGGGACTCATTGCCTACAAGAAGCTGCTGTGAGTTAACACCATTTACCTCTCTTCCTGCCCCCACATTGCCCCACATGACTTCACAGCAGGATTTGGCCAATAATAAGATGTATTGCTTAAAGACAACCAAGCACTCATCCAACTTCTCTCCATCCTCAAGGTGACAAGACAGGGTGCTATTTATTATTCTGAATTAATTATCGGGATTTCTATTTTATTTTTGGTTAAGCCCTAATAAGACACCCAGGCACCTCAGAGGTGATAGAGAGAGACATTGCTGTTCATGCTGGCTTGTAATGCTCTCGGGTTATTGATTCTTGGCCTGTATTTTATTTTGCCCTCTTTTAGTCTCTTCTGACTTAGTGGCACTACTGATGTGTACTTTCTGTTTGTCTCTTTGTCACTCTTTCTTGTGCTGTAGGAGGAAAAGAAAGTCCTGCAAGAGGAAGAGAAGAAAGATCTTGCCTTGCAGACAAAAGCATGCCTGAGCATCCCGCTCGTACGAGAGTCTGATGAAGACCAGCATCTGGCAGCCCTACTCAAATATCAGAGTCTTGGTTGTATGTGAACACTTAATTGCTGGGCTTTTTTTTGTGGGAGCAGAGGATGCAGATGAAAGATAGGGCTTTAGCAATCATGTATGTGATATGTAGAGTCAAGTCTTACCCAGGAGTATCCATGGAAGATAACCCATCAGGTTGTAGTGGGCATGGCCAGAGACAAAAGGGGGGGCACCTCATTCTCCTGTCCCCTTTTTTCTTTCTCCGTCTTCTTTCCCACACAATGGGCTATCAGAAAAGGGATGGATTGGTCTTGGCGGAGACCTAAACTTCCAAAGAGCTGCTGTAGAAAGCTCCAAGTTGCCTACCCCTGGTCTAAAGCCTGTGTTAGTAGCAAATAGAAGCCTGGATTCAACATGGAAGAGTGCTGCCTTCACATTTCCTTTTAAGCTTTGTATGGCAAAAAGGAAAGCCCCTGACACTGCCCCCCTCCGGCTCCCAATCTCTTTGCTGATAAGCCTTTTGGAGCTTTAGGTCTTGCCTGGGGCGAGTCTCCCAAAGCAAAGCAAATCTTTGATTCCCTGCCAAAAGAAATAATCAATAAACAAAATAGGATATTCACACTCATTTTAATGAACTATGTAGAGGATTTTATTTAGATGTACTCCCAACTTTGAATTTACATGTTTGGCATATCTGTGGAGTTTGTGTCATCTCCCTCGCTGCATCCATCCTTTTTTTCCAGAACTCTGTTTCCCTGAACAGTTCCCAAAACCATTGGGTGTGAACCCCAACCTATGTATATAATTGTTCATGCTGCAGAGGTGATGGGCTTCTGGGCTCGACCTGTACCAGGACCTTGTAAGCACCATAAAGTGATGTGGTACCCACTGCCCTTTACAATGTTTGCAGAGCCTGGTGGAGGAGAGCCTTGTGGTACAGTTGCCTGCTTTACATACAGAAGGTCCCAAGTTCCATCCCCCTGAAAACCTTTTTTGAAACTCACTTGACAGTATATAGTCCTGGGTTAGCTGGGCAAATAATTAAGGTAAAGGTAAAGGTTCCCCTTGACAATTTTTGTCCAGTCGTGTCCCACTCTAGGGGGCGGTGCTCATCCCCGTTTCCAAGCCATAGAGCCAGCGTTTTGTCCGAAGACAATCTTCCGTGGTCACATGGCCACTGCGACTTAGACACGGAACGCTGTTACCTTCCCACCGAGGTGGTCCCTATTTATCTACTTGCATTTGCATGCTTTCGAACCGCTAGGTTGGCGGGAGCTGGGACAAGTGACGGGCGCTCACTCCGTTGCGTGGAAGGTCCCAAGTTCCATCCCCCTGAAAACCTCTTTTGAAACTCACTTGACAGTAGATAGTCCTGGGTTAGCTGGGCAAATAATTCAACCTGATATAAAACTGCTTCCTGTGCGCTTGCATGCTTTCGAACCGCTAGGTTGGCGGGAGCTGGGACAAGTGACGGGCGCTCACTCCGTTGCGTGGATTCGATCTTACAGCTGCTTGGTTTTCTGACCCTGCAGCACAGGCTTCTGCGGTTTAGCCCGCAGCGCCACCACGTCCTGGGCAAATAATTAAACCTGATATAAAACTGCTTCCTGTGCGCCTGTCACACTGCCAGTGTAACAGAAGGACTGTCAGAGACAGGGTGGTTGTAGGGTTTAGATTTGGACTGGGGATTGGAAAGCCTCTGCTCAGTCATGAAACCCACTAGGGAGGCAACACCCCTTAACTATCTCTTAGCCTGAACTACCTCACAGGCTTGTTATAAGAATACAGTGGCAAGGAGAAGAGCCAGGTACATGGCCTTTGCTTACTGGAGAACAGGCGAAGGATCCCATGAATTTCACGCTGTCGCGTTCGCAGTGACATGCTCTCCTTTCTCCTTCTAGCCTATGAAGACAAACAGAAGCAAAAACGCAGTGAAATCATTGACCGCCCATGGTTCTCACCCACCCAGGCCGCAAACCCCAAAGCCAACGACAGTCTTAAAAAGCTGGCCTTCACTGGGAAATCCTCCGCTAGCAGGTCGCCGGCAGCTATGAGCCACCTGGGGGTTGTGCGTCGGAAATCCAAGGACAAGGAAAGGGCACCTGCTGAGGAGGAGAGTGAACGGCCAAGTCCCCCAGGCGAAGCTGACAGACAGCATCAGGAGAGGGCTTTAAATGGAGCATCGTGTGACTCTCCGTTGGTGACTGAGGTGGACTCTCAGAAGGCGGAAGGAAGCCCCCCATCCAGTTTGGCTGCCTCTCTGGTTGCAGATTATTCAGACTCTGCTTCTGATCCTGAAGCCGAACTATGAGCAAGATTTTGTGCCTCTGGGTAGGGGCATGGTTGGAGTGACTGTGCAAACAAAGAAGAGACTGGCCTGTACTCAGTTAATGCTCCAACCTCTCTGTATGAGAGAGGGAGAAGGGTTGGAGGAGGGGAAAGGGAAGGAATGAACGTGAATGTGTGTTTCACTTGGGAGTTTTGCTATCTTCTCTTGGACTATATGTTGCTCTGTTGCCAAGTATTTAAATACAACTTCTTCCTTGTTTTGTCCACTGAATAAACATACTGTATCCCAGACCTTAATTGTTTTTGTTATCTAACATGGCATCTGCACATATATGAAATGAGCTACATGTCGAGGTTGCCAGCCTCAGTTTGCAGAGAGGAAAAACCTGAAATCGCAGATCTTTGGATAAATTCAACAACGTTTATTTATTTATTGGTTTTGTATCTGACCTTTCTCCCAAATGTGGGACTTAAAGCTGCTCACAGTGGCTGAAGTCCTGTCGGCATAACTTTGCACCATATAACTAGGATAACATCATCAGATGATTTTAATTTGATTTGAATGGAAAGCTTCTTATCCCCTCTTCAGGTTCTAGAGCTCCCTTTTCTCCTGGAGAAGCATTCTGGAGCCATAGAATGGGGGGAGGGGGAGCCTTTAATAGCCAAAAAATCACCATTGCATGATCCCACTGCAAGGATCAGGACCATCACTGCCGGTCCAGTGGCGATTTTTGGCTATTAAAGTTGCAGCATAAAGTTATGTTGATAGGGTATACACATCAATGATGGGGGGGGGAGAGGAATACAATTAAAGGATGAAACAAATACTGTAATTAAATTTAGAGGCCAGTTTGAAGCACAATTAAAAATAACCAGGTTCATTCAAGATTCTAACTGGAGAAATTAAAGCCTGGAAGAGTTCAGAAAAATTCAGATGATTTTTTTCTGTACAGTATAAAAAGCAAGGAATATTTTTCCGTTTTTCCAGTTGAAAAATCAGAAATGTGGGGGTATGGGGGGAATCCAATAAAATATGTTCTCTTCTAGAATGAATGAAATATTTTTATGGCGAGATTTTGTTCACTCAAAATACCAGAATGTGGACAGTACAGTATATAAATTTTATTTGTGAGGCAGTCTACACTACAGAAAAGGTGGACAACCTGCAAGCTACATAGAGCACTCCTGGGTCAGTGCACACCCACAAAATGTTAAAAAATCAGCTAATAAAGCCCTCTTATTCCTTCTAGGGAGTATGGAGTATGATTTTTGTCATATTGATGAGGGTTTAATTTCTTTTTGAAATGTGTGTTTTGGGCCAATGGAGGCACACGTGGGCTTTTTCAGTAAAAAAAAAAGACCCAATTTTTGAAATAAAAAATATTCAGGGTAACTGTCTTAAGTCCAAAGATGCTTGTAACCTCTGAATGTTGCAACACTGGTATACATGAACAGCAGTTCCTTGCATACTATAAACATGTACATCACTCAAATACAAGATGTATTTCTGCACTTAGTGGGTGCTGCTTTTCATGCATGACAGGACAATATTGGCTGGCATGGAGATTTTAATGCTTGTGGATTGTAATTTGCTTTCTTTTAATGACTTCTGCTCCAATTCTGGTGAGAACCATCACAGTGAAGGACAGGGTGTCCAAATAATACAGTTCATGTTGTCTGTTACACAATTTCTCATTTCTGTTTCAATTTTCTCTCTGTTCCTCAGGTGGAAATTACAGAGAGTTTACAGGAAGCCAGATTTCTGTTGAATATGAGGAAAAATTTTTTGTTAGAATAGTATGACAATGGAACCAATTACCTCAGGAGGTGGTGACCACCACGATGAGTCTAGTATAGAAAGTGTTCAACAAAAAATTAGCTATTTGTCATGATCACCATCCAGATTTCTGCACTGAGCAGGGGATTGGACTCAGTGGCCTCATCAACACCTTATGAGCAGGGGATTGGACTCAATGGCCTCATCAACACCTTTCAACTGCATTATTTTATGATTCTGTGTGTCAGTAGGTTGAAATCTACCCATACACAGAATCAGCCCTGCTTTAAGCTGTCACAATTCCTTCACAACATGCTGTGTGAGAGAAAACACTCTTTTCCTTCCGTGCACCCAACCAGTGACAGGGAAAAAATCAATTCATTCAAAATGCAATCTCAGTGAATACTAGAGGCAAATCAAGCGTCAACTTCCTGCAGAAGTGGAAATGACTAAACTGACTTATCTTCCTCTTTAGGCATAACCATAAAACAACCAGATTTACTGGAAATAAAATAAAGCCAGGAAAAGCTAAAGGCAGTCGGAAAACAGGAAGCTGGACCCGCACAATAGGGCTTGTTGTGTAGTGACAGGATCTTTAATAATAAGTGTCACCAAGTCAATTCTCCTGCTATTCCAGGTAGAGAATACTCAGATGTACAGTAGTTTCCTTTTGCTTTCTTCTAGGAGTTGCCCTAGGACCGTGTAGGTTGCCCCCAAGGCTCCGCGGGCTGGCTCTACTTGGAAGAGGCACAGTGGGGAATGGGACCGTGTAGGTTGCCCCCAAGGCTCCGCTGGATGGCTCTACTTGGAGGAGGCACAATGGGGAATGGACCTCCCCCCCCAAAAAAAAAACTATCCAGCCACAACCTTTTCGTCGTTTAGTCCGACTCTTCATAACCCCATGGACCAAAGCACGCCAGGCCCTCCTATCTTCCACTGCCTCCCATAGTTGTGTCAAATTAATGTTCGTAGCTTCGATGACACTGTCCAACCATCTCGTCCTCTGTCATCCCCTTCTCCTCCTGCCTTCACACTTTCCCAACATCAGGGTCTTTTCCAGGGAGTCTTCTCTTCTCACAAGATGGCCAAAGTATTGGAGCCTCAGCTTCAGGATCTGTCCTTCCAGTGAGCACTCAGGGTTGACTTCCTTCAGAATGGATAGGTTTGTTCTCCTTGTAGTCCAGGGGACTCTCAAGAGTTTCCTCCAGCACCACAATTCAAAGGCATCAATTCTTCGCGGCCAGCCTTCTTTATGGTCCAGCTCTCACTTCCATACATCACAACAGGGGAAACCATAGCTTTGACTATTCGGACTTTTGTTGGCAAGGTGATGTCTCTGCTTTTTAAGATGCTGTCAAGGTTTGTCATCGCTTTCCTCCCAAGAAGCTGGCGTCTTTTAATTTCGTGACTGTTAGGGGTCCCTAAATCATAAGCTCGCCCTAACGAAGCGATGTGCAGATGAACAAGGAAGACCCCTGCCCGCGCCCAGGCACTGAAAACGCGAGTCGACGGCCCGCTTCCCACGTGCCCCGTTCTCCACGCGGCCTCCTCATTGACGCAGAGTCCCGCGAAGGGGGCGCCCGTGTGTATGCGTGTACCCGCAGGCCTCTCTCCAAAGAGGACCGCCCCGCGGCCCTCCGCCTTCGGCCTCCCCGCCCCTTCTTCCCTCGCCTCGGCCCTTTCCCTCCGTCTTTCAGTTCCGGCCCGGCCTTTTCTGTGCGTCACGCCGGGGCGAGCTCAGGGGGCGGCGGCGGAGGAGGAGGCAGGCCTGGGCCCGAGCAGAGAGAGCGCTTCTCCATGGCTCAGGGCAAGCGGAAATTCCAGGCCCGTAAGCCGGCCCCGGCGGGCAAGAAGGCAGCAGCTGCGAGCGCCGCCCGGGGGCCTCGGAAAGGAGGTGGGTATGCAAGGGGAAAGGTGGCCAGGCTTATAAAACGCCGAGCGGAAAGAAACTCAGACTCGGAGCCACGTGTCTTTTCGTGCTCATTGGATCCATCGTGCACAGGGGGGGAAAAAAGCTCACTTCGCTTCACACGGGATCCGAAGGAACGGTGATCTCGAACTTTTAAAGTTAACTCAGAATTGCGATTTGTCTACTTGAAAGGGGCTGGACACTTTTAAAGTTAACTCAGAATTGCGATTTTATTTGCCCCACTGTGTCTGCTTGAGAGGGGCTGGACTACATTGTGTCCCTTCCAGCTCTGCAGTTCTGAGATGATGATGAAATCTTGGACTTCCGTGTTTAAGTACAGCGTGAGAATTGCTTAGATACTGTAATCGAGGGCACCCTTACTGCGTTCGCGGTGTTACTGGCTGGGTGCCCCTGAATCACTCTCAGCGGGCTGCTCTTGAAAGGATTATTGTGGGATTACTTGGTGTCTTCGAGGAGAATCAATAGTAATATTGAGTTTCTGGGAAGAACGTTGTGTAAAGGAAATACAGTAAATAATTTTGAAGAGGCATCTGAGGTCGGAACTGAGACAAATGACTTTCCCACATATCAACAGTTGTTGACGGAGGGCTGAATGGGGTAGGGATTGAACCCATTTTCGTGGGGCACAACGCTACACGGTCATTTTGAAACAGCTTCATAAATTTCCACTGTGGAAATTAATTTCAAATTATAGAACCAGTTCTGGTTAATTTTTTATGAGTGTATCTATGTGATACTGGTTTATACACAACACTGGTTTAGTAGCACAACATTCTAGCTCATGTCTCTTTCTGGAGGGGGGGCGGTAGTGATACTATGGTACGTGATTTCTTATGTTTTATATGCCCATATCTCCTACATAACTACCTAATAGGAGATTTAGTTGGGCTCTGATTTATATGCCCCTATGGCCTGCACAACTATGGGAGATTTTGTGACATGAAGCAAAAAGGAGTGCATCTGTTTCATGCTGCGTTCCTCTTGCAGGCCGTGTAATTGCTCCCAAGAAGGCACGTGTGATCCAGCAGCAGAAACTGAAAAAGGTGAGCTGTCTCCTGATTCACCCTGCCAAAAGGTGCTCCTGAAGGATCAAGTGTAAAACCCCTTTTTGGAGCAGCTCATTTTTGTGCGATTAGAACACATGTTTTTTGGTCCAAGTGCCTATTATTCAGTGCTTCCAGTGAAACACAATGGAGGATTGTTGTTGTTGTTTTTTGTTACTTGAAGGCAGTATCCCAACTCTGGCCTCTTAGACAAGAGTAACCTAGTCTCTGTTAGAGTACTGCAGATTTTTCTGCGTGATACTGCTTTTGGAAATAACTCAGAAGCTGTATTTCAGAGGAATACTGAAACTTTGGCCCCCAGTTTCCAAAAACCCATAACCTTTGTTTATGATGGCTTGCTTTTGTGGCAGTTGAAGGCCAAGCATCTGGTTGGTCAAGGCTTCCCCATCCATATTGTAATTTCGGTGTGAGACTTTTACTGAGAATAGTCATCGAAGGCATCTCATTAGTACTGAAAGATTTCTCTTGGCTGCCAGTTCTGTTTTGTTAAATGTTCATAGCACTGATATAGAAGGATAACAGATGGGCATAAACCCCAGTTCGGAGGTTCGTGCCCATTCGTACACATAGCCCCACAAGTGCCGCCATTCCCTTCCCCTGCCTCTCCCCTGGTCAGTGATCCACTCAGAAGTCGGAGCACACTCGTCTTCTCCCTGGGAGGAACCTGGGTTTGCCTGTCCTGCCTCCCTGTCTTAGTGGGCAATCAGCCAAGAAGGCGGAGCAGGGAAGCCCATGCTCCTGCCAGAGACTGGCCAAACAGCTGAAGAGGAGGAGAGGAACACACACCAGCTGTTGAGTGGAGGATCCAGCTAGGTAGGCAGGGGAAGGGAATGCACAACACTTGTGTTGCCGAATGTACGAATCTCCAGATTGAATCTCCAAATAGAATCTCCAATTTGTGCTCATCTAGATAGAAGGACCTCTATAACTTGAATCCTGCTTACCTACAGGAATACTTGTTCCCGCATCCTCATGCCTGGATCACCACTGCTCTCCATCAGACATGAAATATGTGGTCTCTGAGCGAAAGACTTCTTCATTGTGGCACCTCATCTATAAAACCTCTTGCCTGTCCTCTTTTAGGTGGCAGCCACATTGAGAGGCATTCTCGCTAGCCTGTTGTGTAGTTTAGAACTCAAGGGTGTTGTTTGGGTCATTGCATTGGAGTGCTGTTGCATTGTGTGAATTGTGTTTTATGTTATTGTACCGTGCTCTGGAATTATATTTGATGAAGAGTTGAACAGAAATGGCTTAGGCGAGGAACCTGCCCTGCCCATATGAGCTGGACTGCAACCTGGGACCTGTAGTCCCAACAGCAGCTAGAGGACCACACATCCCCCATGTTTGCCCTAAACCAGTAATTCTCAGTGGGGTCCATATGGCCCCCTGCCCCCCAGCACCTTTGAATGGGGGCCACGGAACTGGGAACAGTTCTTCACCCACCACCTTATAAGGTTTTATATGCAATTTATACAATCCAGATTCAGGCTGCATTTCTTTTCCTATTGTGTTTATGGCTGTGACAAAAAAAAGGTTGAGAATGGCTGCTCTAAACAAACACAATAAAGCCTGAAATCTACCTTCCCGAGGGATTTGTGTGGGACTTTTCATCTGAGCAGTCATGGCAGATTTGAAAATCAAGACACTTCGGTGTACGCATGATTAGTGATTGTCTTAACAGTGCTTTTACAAACCCAGACTCTCTCTCTCTCTCTCTCTCCAGAATTTGGAGGTTGGCATCCGTAAGAAGATTGAGCACGAAGTCCTGATGAAGGCCAGCGCTAAACTACCCAAGAAGCTGAGTGTGCTGAAGGCCCCCAGACTGGAAAGTGCAAAAGAGTCAGGCCACTCCAGCCGGTCTTAGTCCAGTGGAGCGGGTGATGGCAAGCCACCACATGCTCTCGGGTGACGGTAGCCATGGGACCCACCTTACGAGGAACTGGATGGACCAGTTCAACGCCGCTCATGTATTGGCAGACAGAAACCATTTCCTTTCACACCAGGAACCTCGTGACCTATGAGGAGAACTTTAGTTTTAAGCCTTAGCTTACCTACTGTGGGTACAAATCCCACGAATGTATATGTATGTTCAGTATGAAATGCGCTGGAGCACGTGCTGGAATAAATGTCTGCTGGGGTTTCAGCAAAACCAGGCTCATGAAGTCTGATCAGAAGTCATGATCTGTATGGAGTAGGGGAATCTGGGTGATGTTCCTGCCTGATGGCTGTATGTTGAACTTTATTTATGCCCAAGGGTCAAAAAAACAGAGAGTGACAAAGAGTGGCCCTTCCAAGTGTTCTTGGGCTGCATTTCCTAGGTTTTCTCACAATTGGCCTTGCTGGCCTGGGGCTGATGAAAGGTGCAGTCTGGCAGCATCAAGAGGGCTGCACTTTGTTCACCCCAGCTAATAAACACAGAATGCAAGGCACATCTGATGAGTACAGTGGTTTTTAGGATTATGATTATGTTTGTTGTTTAAGACCTCTCTGAAGTGAGATTTACGCATATAGGCTTCTGTGCAAACAACGGGCCAGGCACAGACTCTTCTGTGCTTAGGCTAGACCCATTAAAATCAATGGGACTTCAGTTAGTGATGAATAAAATGTCCCACTGACTTCAGTGGGTACACTGTAAACATGGCTAAATTTTTATCCTACCCACAAGACCTAGGCAACATTGATCCTAGTTCAGATTTTTTGGCCTGTCTGCTTAAGGTTTGATTCAGCTCTCAACCAAAGCAGAAACAACAGTATGGCTTCTGAAATCTTAACTGTTCCTGGAAATATCCTGGATTTGCTTACTTTTACATCAATTTTACAGTTCTCCAGAACCAAAGGATGCCTCTGGACTGTCTGCTTCCTTCTGTTCAGCATGACACTGTGGTTACATCTTTACTGCTTATCTCTCTTATGAAGCTTCATTTTAAAAATATGTGCTGATTGCAGCTTGAACTTAGAAAATCCTGGTGGCTTAATTTCGGAGTCAGCTAAATCTTTCCATATACTTTGTCCACCAGCAGCAAGCTGGCAAATAATCTCAATTAGAGGTCTGTTTTCAGGTCAACACTTCCAAATCTAAACTTCTTTTTTTAAATTAAAAAAAATCCAGATTCTTTTAATATATAAATGGTGCCTTTGTGCTGCATTTAAATAAATATATCCTCCAGGAGATACATTCTTGATTAAGAACACATCTTTCAACAGTTCTGTTGGTTACGATCTCTATGTTAAACAAATGAAATATTTACTTTTAACAGTTTGGAATTACCCTGAAGTGGTCGCAAAGGGTCCTCCTTGTGGCCTTCCCAAAGTCATCCGGATGCTTACTCTGAGAAGCAGGAGGCTGGACTCTAGCACCACAAAGACACCCCCCCCCTGCTTCTTCTAAATGTGTCAAGTGTTCCACCCCTATCGACTTTTTCCAGCCGGCGGCCACCCATAGTCCAAAACAGTTGATTCCGTCCAGCCTCAGAAGGATGAGAGCTTTAGTCTTCTTCCTCTGCAGAGGGGCTGCTTAAGAAAAGGCTATAACCATGGAACCAGAAAGAAGCCTGGGTATCATCTCTGATGCTCCATGGTGACCATGGCTCAGCACCAAGGCAGGAAGGCTCTCGCCTCCGGTGATGGCAGGAAAGGTGGAGGCTGGGGAGGAACTAGGAGTCCACCTGGAGGAAGGAGTGGTAGAAACCAGGGGGCACAAGACTGTCTTTTCCCCAGGTGCTGATGCAAAAAGGCGAGCAGCCACCGCCCTGGTCTGGACCTGCTCTGAGATCAGCCTTGCCATTTTAAAAGGGCCCCTACCTCCTGTGCCTCTTCCCGGGAAGCCCTGAATTAATTGAAAGGAAATCTCTGGGCTGCCAAAGTCTTTTTGTTTTCTTGACGGGGAGGGATAGTCCTGCTTGGGGTAGGCCATGGAGAACAGTTTGGGGAGGCCAATATAGCAGAGAATGGGAAGCGAGAGTCATCTAGGACTGAACAGCAAGGCAAAAGAAGATTGTGTTGGGAGCTCACATGGGTGAGAAAAGTTGAGATCCCCCTCAGAGTTGTGCAAGGAACGTCCGTGGGGTGGCCTTAGGTTGGGAACAGTTTGAAGGCACATCCCTTTTTTTAAAATTCAAGTGTTTGTTGGCTGAAAATGGAGAGATGTTTGTCAGCGATCACCAGGAGAGGTCACTGTTGGGAGACAGAATACTGCATTTGTTAGGAAGTTGCTCAGCTAATGGGAAGGCCAGCCACTCCTTTTTCAGTAGAAGGGGAAGAGGAGCTAAGCTGCAACTGTGGTGTTTGATACTGTCGTTTGCTACTTTTTTCTCTAAAGTGCAATCATATGGTCAAAGCGGGAGAACCAAGAGTGGAAGAAGCACCACTTTCTGAATCTTCCATGATTCTGGATAAAAAGCAAATGTGGGTTTTTCCCCTTCTCTATTTTTCTAAGAGCTGCCCTCCCACTGGCACTGACAGGAGAAAGGGTCCAGGAAGGAGAGAGTTTGGGATAATGTCAAGCCAGTGCCTCTTACATATCTACTCAGAAGTAAGTATCACTCAGTGCCAGGTCAGTGTGCATACATTTGCGACCGTCGTGTTCCTTTTATCCCAAATCAGGAAGCCCTTTCCAGTGGCCATCAAACTTGACCCAAGTATCGTGTCCAAATCAAGGATGTTGCAGCAATTTCCTGTTCACGCAGTTGTTGTTTCCCTTTGTTTCCAATAACATGTTGAGAAAGAAGAAGCTTTTCATTCAGAGCCCTTTCATGCAGGCCTAATAACAGCTGGTAAGTTATGAAGGCTGGTCAACCTTTCCAGCCAGAGACAGAACAGTGAACACCACAGTCATGTAGGATGTGTTGGTGTCACCCTCAAGCAGATGTCGAAGAACTCCAGAAGGACCTAACTAAACTGCAAGGGGGAGGCAGGCAAAAAACAGCAAACACAAATTAAAAGTGAGCACCATGTGCTTGGCAAAGTATTCTGAGATGATGCCTAAAAACAAGATTAGCCTTCACAGCCAGTAGGCTATCAGACGTTCTTGGTAAGAATGACAGAATTGCAGACAAATCTCTCAAAAGAACAATAATGCTTATTGCTCAGATATGTTTTAAGTTGCAGTCTTTATCAGAGTTTGGAAATTGTACCATTTAGACCACAATTCCCATAATCCATAGCCAACATAGCTATTGAAGATTCTGAAAGTTGTCATCTAATCCATTTGATGTCTTAATCCAAAGTTAGAAATAGTACCTTCAGAACTATGATTCCCATAATACCTAACCAGTCTGCCCAGTGAGGATTATGGGAGTTGTAACTGAAAGAAGTAACTTTTTCAAAATTCTGCTCTCAGTTTTGACAGTACTAGACCTTTGCCGGAAAAATCCTGTTTGGGACAGGCTGGGCCAAAGGAAGCTACTGATTGTCCTAAAATGTCTGGAGGTCTTTGAGTGCATCTCTACCTTCCATCTCCAAGAACCTTTAATCAGATACTGGCTAATCAGTAATAATTCACAACAAAAGCAGGCCCATTGAATTAGTGGAGATTTGGTGGGTCAACTGTGCTGTAAGTTTCTGTTATTCAATGGGCTTACTCTGTTTCATCCAAAGAGCCTGAACTGTCTCCTGAGAACAGCAGTATAAAAATTACCAGGGTAGCTACACAAAGCAGTACCTGCTTGCAGAGAGAAAGAGAGAGAGAGGTAGAGAAGTTCCTCGGGGGTAAAATGACTTCTATGAAGGAAGACTTTCCATGTGAGAAGCTCTGACGTTGGAGTGCCTTCAATTAAGTGCAGCTGAGCCCTGGATGGAGAGCCATGAGCAAAGGTTTTTAACTCTCAGCCTTATTGCAAGGTCATTTGCTAGAAGAGTGGTAGAAGTGTAGTAACTCCAGGTCTGGATCATCTGTTTTGTGGTCTCTTTCCTTGCTCTTCTGGTGCCTTAGACTGTGGGTTGTCTCTGGATGATGGTAGTGGAATTGCTCTTCCAATTGCTCTCACATGGACACTTTTTTTTTTGCGGTCAAACCCTGCTAGCCTAGATGCTTAGATGACCTTTGACCCTGCTTCCAGAGCCCATCCAAGACAGAGAGGGAGAATCATCCAGCCTTGGGAGAGAAGAATAGGTCTCCTAGTCAGTACAGTGGTGCCTTGACTTACAAACGCCCCTACTTACGACCATTTCAAGTTACGACCAGCTCCGGCTGCAAAATTTTGCTTCGACTTGCGCCCGGAGCTTCGACTTCCAAAGAGAAAAGGGCAGGGGGGAAAGGCGGTAAATTCAAACCATTGGTGGCGAAGAGGTTGCTTCTTTGTAGCTCTTTTGCCCCAACGGTTAGGAAAAGGGATTCAGCGGCGGGGGGGGGAGCAGAGGCCCAGCACCAGGAGGCTGAGCAGTCGAACCATCCTGTCCAGGCTCAGCCTCCCGGCACTGGGTCCCCACTGCCACCATCGCTGTCGGGAGGCGAGCGGCCGGATTTTTTTTTTTTTTAAATCTGGTCTCTGGATACAAAAACCTTGACCGTGATATTTTGCAGAAAGAGAAAAGTAAATTGTAGGTTTCGTTTGTTAAAATTAAGTTGCTGCATGTCCAGAACAGGAAGGGCCGTCTTTATAACTGCCTGTTTCATTCTATTCTAGAGTGGAATATGAAAATGTTCTTTGCTGGGACCAAAACTTTCACCCAGTTTGTACCCCTACTGTCTACTGGTAGCAATTGTTGGGGTAGAAAAATACGTTAACATTGTCAAGTCACTGTTATAGGTCCTGAAATCACAAGCTGGTGTAGTATCATGGGCATAGTCCAGTGAAGCTGAAGACTTCTAAATGGCAATTATTTCCACAAAATAAAAGTAATTGAGTCCTTACTTTTGCCTCTTAAAAAAACTTAAAAATTGATCATTAATTGCTATTTTGTTTTAGCTTTGAAAAGGATTCACTTAATTGTTTTTATGTTCTGTAAATCACTTTGGAGGTATGGTGACCTTCTAAATTAATGACCTCCAGAAGATCCTCTTATTAACATTCTGCTCTGGCCTTGCAAAGTAAAGGCTATGGCTTTAGTTAACTAGTTAATCCATTTTATGTGTAGTTTTCTTCTTTTCCTACTGCCTTCATCTTTTTCTAGCATTGTTTTTTCCAGATGCATCTTGTCTTCCAGAAGCTTTGCTGTAGTGTAACATATAAAACAC